CAACCTAACCCAGGCAATACAATATCATTCAGTCTGTACAACAAAAGCCTTTGTTCATTTTAGTCCTTGTTCAGTTCCCAATCAGTTCAAACAGAGTCTTTCCATTGATTTCAATGAGAATTGAACTTTCAGTCCCTAGTGGAGCAATCTTCTGATTTATCCATTGACCAAAGTTCAGCCTAGGTCCAGGAGGACAATTCTGGAAGATGTATGACCTCTTCCTTATTTGTTTCTTTTTGATGTAGATTAATAACAGAAGAAATCAGTGATCAGAAAGTAGCACATTGGAGGAGCTCCACAAAGAATGTTAGATGTGGTGATGTTGAGCACCATGCCTAATGGTTTAGGCATGTAAAAAATCACTAGGAGTCCCGAAGCTATCATGTGCCAGCAACGCCTCTCTGCTGGTAATTCAACTAGAAAGAATCATTTACATTTTCCTAATGGAAAATCGAAACTTTTTATGGCATGTTTAGATTTTCCAGAAACTTCATTTTCCCTCCAGAAAATCATTTCAATGGGAAATTTTTGACTAGCTCCAATGACTAGTGGTTTTTGGGTACCTCAGATTTTGGTTGCTCAAATCGCAATATTTGGAGGTATTCAGTGCTTTTTGAAAATCAAGTCCCTTTAAAACAGCTTGATGTTGTCCACAGAGACACTAAGTTATCCAGAATCACTTGTCACTCTTGAAAATCTTGCCCTAATGTAATACAGTATAAATACAAAGCAATTATGCAGAGAAGGAAATTGTTTTGAAATGTAACATTTTATTTTAGCAACTTCCTAAACATAATGCAAGTGATCAGAGTTGATATACTGCATCAGTGTACCGATATTCATCTTAGAGACAGACCAGAGATTTCCATTTTATAGAGGTGCAACCTCTAATATTGAATGCTTATGTAGCAATTTTTACCAATAGATTCAAAGCAGTTTACAAAGGAAATCTCCCCTATTTTGGTCTTAGGAAAACTGAGCTATGGGAGAAGTAACTTGCCTAAGCTCACCCAGCAAGTTACTAGTATAAGTAGGAAGAGAACTTGGGTCTTCTCATTTTTGGTCAGGCTCCTACACCACACCATTTTCAAAGCAATATTAACTCTCCACTGTTCCTGCTTATTTATTCTGCCATGAAATTCTAAAGCTTAGGCCTGTCATTTACTATATATTCATCCAGAGCTTAGCACAATGGAGTATCTAACTGTTAGTGCAATATCCATATTAATGATAAATGATAATTTATCTTCATATGACTTAACACTGCGGTCCATGAAAGTGAATGTGGTGTCAAAACATACTATTATTGGACTACAAAATCAAGTAGTAAAAAGAAATCGGTGATGGAGACCTGAAACACACAGATTGGATCTGAATTTTTAATGGCCCCCAGGCTTCTGTGTGTTGGGTTCTGGAATGTTTGTGATCTCTTGTTGAGAAAAGCATTGTGATTCCCTTGTGTCAGAGTGCACACATCTTGTGTCATTGGATGTCTATTCATGTTATCCAGAACTGAAGCATTTGAAGTATAGGATAGTACGTTATACCTTTAATGTTTCCTTCTATTTTGATATTTCTAAACACTGTTGCGTGAATATACATGGTGCTTTTCCTGAGTATGCAAG